GCGATAGCCAGTCCCCAACCGTGTCCCCGGTTTGTCTTCTCTCTACCTCCTAATAGACAACGAGATTCCTCGTCGTCATCAGGATGACTTTGGCCTAGGCGGGGTAGTATGCTAGGCAATTTTCGGCGTCGCTGCATCTTTAAATTTTAGCCTGGGTAATGGTAATATATGTGCGAAGGTTGCGTCGGAAAACTCTTCATCGGAGGACTCATGACTCTGACGTTACATTTACGAGGTCTTTCAAAGCCGATATCCAATTCGTCTATGAATATCCAAGGCTCTAGTGGTTTAAGTAGAAAACTTAACTCACTATAGAAACCTTATTACTGATAAGAGGGAGCATATTGAAGAGATTTCTGCTAGAGAAATGGGGGAGCGGGAAGTTGTGCCAGTCGCCCGGCCTCGTGGAAGACTGCCAAGACTGTCTGGTCAGAAGGATCTATTCCGCTGGAAGGGTAGGTCAGAATGCGGTCTGACAATGACCATGGTATAGACAGAGTTTAGTACTGAGGAATGGGTCGCCCGGACATCTCATTTCCAAGAAGAGGAATAGTATATATCCAACGCACCATAAACATAGAAACAAGAAACAAGAAACAGCAAGCAGCAAGCAGACAATATAATGATATCGAAAATAAAAACCAAAAGCAGCCCCAACTCCGATCCAAAGGAAAATATAAGTGCAGGGAGGATAGTGTGACGTGCCAGGTCGATCAATAAAGAAAGAGTGCATATACAACAGAAGAGTGTATTCCGACGAAGATAACTAAGATAAAGAAAGAAGGAAGAAAGAAGAAGCAAGTTGCAAAGTGGGAGAGGACCTGCTTATATAGCCGGTACTCTGCAAACGCTGCAAACAACAAACATGCAAATAAACATAGCGATCGTAACAGATAGCCTGCACAGGAAAGGGGACGGGCGAATCCACTATTTGAGTGGTTGAAGCAAGAAGTGAAACAAGCAGGCTGTGGGATATTTATCCCTTACTCCCGCGGAGCATATCTAGGAAGTTTGAGACTTCCTTTGCTTTGGGGGGCGGGGAGGTGGGTGCCCACCGGCGGAGCGAAGAAACGTACTGGGATGTTTTCATCATCCCAGTCCCAGTAGGACACTTGAGTCCGAGCTTCTTCTGAAGCTTGCACAGAACCTGCCCACTCTACATACATCGGAAGACGTGGGGGCGCCTGGGGGTGCCTGGGGGCCTGGCTTAGAAACGGTGGTCACAACTTCTGGAGTTCTGTCGGGCCTGAGGGTGATGGTGGTTTTGGCTGTGGCTATATTATTTTAGGATATTTTTTTTGTCTTAATCTCGAAGGTGTATCAAGGATCAGAGACAACATCAGATTGCACGGTTCAATGAATTTTTTTTGTCTTTCTCGGTTCGCGTTCCTTCTTCTAGACTCTCGGAGGCACCTACCTCTCTCCGAAGACTCCCCATAAGAAACGCTTGTTTGTCTGGAAGCCCCCCAGTCTACTTCAGTAGACAGTTTGCCAAGGCCCCGGACCCTGAGACCTACTCGCGAGCAATTATATGGTCAGACCTACAGTAAACCCCGAATTCGCGATATCTACCTCCTTAACCACGACCTGACGATATCAGAGCTCAAAACGTATCACAATATCACGTCTACCGAATCAGATACCGACGTCCTGATGCTTTACACAAACGCCAACGAGGAAAGCAACACCGGCACACGAAAGGCCGTTCTATCGGAGCCCCAATGTCGGGACCTTGTGATAAACCTCTCCAAACGTATCCTACAACCAAGTACTGCGCAAATGAATTGGCCACAGCTCACTCTTGAGAATGTTCTCGCTCTTCAAAAAACCATCTATATGACGAGCAATTCATATCATCATCCGTCCTATGCCAGTCTGCGCCTCAGACGTTAGCACCAGTCAGAGTCGAACGATGAATTAATTGATTTCAGTGATCCTAATGACGATGGATAAAACTAGTAAAAACCATGATATTCTTCTCGGAAGTTCTACCAGGAGGGGAGGAACCCTCTCCCGTCTCCCCGCTCTATTTATTTAGACAAACTCCTCTCCTCCGTTTCTCGGTTATGTATGCGCCCGAGCCTTATTGCAGATAGTCAAAGTGACTCAACAAATCTATATTGGTCATCTGAGATACCAGTTGCCTGGCTTCATTGCGCTTCATCTAATCCGTTGTTCGGCTGGATCGTCGGATACCGTGGTCGCCTGTCGGCGATCCACTTCCTCTTGAAGGGCTTGTCTTTCCGCCTAACTGTATTCATGGGCATGTGATCCCAGACTTTGTATGTATCGATAATGAAGGTCATAGAAATAATGATGAAAGACGCGTCTCTGTGCGCGTTGGAGAGCCTCCTCTGGGGAACTCGTAAGGAAACGAGACTTCCGAATTGGCGTCCGAGTGGTTTTCGGAAAAGACTCAGACGTGCTCGAGGTCTGGATCAAGGGGTCATCAACGGCGTCTGTGCACACCTCGACATTCGTTTCATACTGATCTTACCTGTTGAGATACCGTTCGAACATCCGCAAGTAGATATCTATGACCCCCTTTGCTGCATAATATCCCAGAAGACATACAGACCGCGGTCAGCAGGAGATAGAGTTGGAAATTGTGCTGTGACAATGGGAATCTTTCGCCTCACGACTAGGAATAACGAAATCTGACCTCGAAGTCGCTTCTAGAGAGTGGTAATATCCTGTGGAAGTTCTTGTAGCGATTTTATGTCTGTGACTGTCCGAAGAATGTCCACTAGCTCAGAGTAGTGCTTGCGAGAGATACCACTCTTATCTAACCAGATAGATAGAAGTAACTGGAACTCGGTCATTACCCCGGGCACTCGACGCTGCTGAACCGTTTCGAATGTTATCTCTGGTTCGGACTGATATCGTGTTTGCTGCGGTGGGGGTATCATTTACGATATATCAGGCTCCGCGGGTTTAGGCTGTGACACTTTGGGGTTCTCTGGTTGGACAAGCAGCTCCTGAATCTCCTCTTCTATGATTTGGTTAGCTAGGAATTGTTCTTCTGCTCTCACTTCAAGTATCAAATCAGTTTCCTCTGATATGAACTGGGTATGGACGTCCTCGATTGTGGTCTGTGATTCGGTGCTTGGAAGCTGTTCGATAATTGAATCGATGATTGTATTCACCGTCCAAAAGTTCTGTTAGCATTAATTACCCTAGACGTCTGATATAGAGAAGTGCTTTTCCCCATCCAAAAGACTGTATAGACTCGGCGAGATCGGAGGTAATATTGTGGTCATTCTTGTGATATGCCACATCTATTCAATTAAGGAAGAGTGCAATCAATTCAGAATGAGTAAGATAGAGAAGGAAAGAAGAAGCAAGTGCTGAAGTAGGAGGTGGCATGCTTATATATCCGGCGCTTCTGCAAACGTTGATCTATAACTGAGAAATAACTGAGCATGCAAACACTAGCTAGTAGTCCCGAGAAAAAGATATTGCACCAGCTCAGCATGCCTTCTCAAGGTAAAGCAGGACATTCATAGCGCCTTATCCTCACTTTAGCCTAGTTAGCCCAAAGATTTGCCGTAAGTTGGATCTCTGGCGCCTCACGGGGCAAATAAACCAAGTAGCCAATTTTTGGAGATATTTTGAAGTAGCGTATGAAAGGCGATCTCCTAAATCCTTTCGGATCTCCTCCTTTTGTTCCTATGGAAAATCGAATTCCCGAAAGTTGGGTCATGTTTGGTACGTATCTTGCTCGTGACAAAGTAAACTTGGAGTGATGAAAACTGAGGGGAAAAGAAGGCTACTTTTTCAGACATGATAGGAAAAGTACCATTTGGCATAACTACGGGCTGAATATTCGGGCAAAGAATATTCAGGTAAGTGAATATCCACCCTCAGTGCCCTGTATACTATGCCCGATCCGTAGGCGCCTGGTGACCACCACCTTACACATGCTGTTGTATGTTTTTCTATTCTTCTGCTTTTGGAGTTAGACCAGATCAATCACTAACCCAGCACTCGATGTTTTCTTTAAGACATAGCAAATCCTACGACTGAGTGGTTGTGCGATACGCGATACGGCATGTGTCTAAACCTCTCCAGTCTCGCCCGCAGCAATCACTCTATAACTATTGTACATGAAATCTTGGCCACGTTTCAACTTAACATAGCGTCTAACAAAAAGATTCGGCATTATCTAATTGGATGATTAACCTGGGGAGAACAAGATTTGCTTTAGCTTAACGTCATTTTCAGACATTCTCTTCCTATACTCTTCGTCATGCATATGTAGGTGTCCCGCAGATCCATAAACCCCGGTGAGTAGATTCGATCAGGCTTAGATATGATTCTGTTGGGCCATGATGCGTGCGAGACCTGGGCAGTCGGGTCCGCTTTGGTTAGGGTTTGGGTTCGACCCCGCCCCGATCGGCTCCGCACGATCGGGTCGGGTCCGCTGGAGGTACGGAGAAGATCGGTGGGGTATAAAGGGGGTTGTGCCCAATGAGGTCTGAGGTAAAGTAAACTTTCATATTTTAGGGAACGCAGGGATGATCAACGCCAGGTTCGGCGTTTGAGACATTAGGTGTCTCAACTCCACAAAAACACCATGTGACTCGACAAAGATCGGCAAGGTTTTCAAACTGGGTCCGGGGTCCGGGGTACTACCGTTGCTGCACAGTATCTGGGGTAATTACTTTGGGGTAACTACTTTGCTGCAGGGCTTGAAAATATATTGCGTCGATATATGTTAAAAGAGCTTATTTTTTATTGAAAGGAGTTTGAGTAAACTATATATCCTGGGTACATCTGTATTGTTTCCCATTGGCCTGTCACTAAATATCCGTCCCTCGCGTCCCATTTTACTTGGCTGATGAACCCGCCTTTCAAAACTCCTATACGCACGCGCAATTCTGCAAACTAGGTCTACCAGGTAGAGCTGTGATCAATTTGACTTCTTCTGAAGTTGCGATAGTCCCGGGACATGGCTAGAGAGATCACCCACGGGAAGCCGCAGAGGGAAATCGACGGATTCAAGCAACAAAGAAAAGAGTAAATACCATCCACCGAGGCATGCTGCGAATAGCACAGCTCCTCCGCCCTGAAATGAGATCGATTGCGTCAGTAACGAGAAAATTAAAGATACCGCAAGGGGACTCACTATTTGGAACTTCCCAGCAAGTACTGTCTCCTGCATAGCCAAGTACCAGTAGGCAGCATTGATGAGGCCAACTCCAATAACCACGGTGAAAAGGATATAGACAAGGACAAAATTGGTCCGGAAGGAGCAGATCAAGTAAAAGAAGCATAGAAGATTGAAACAAACTATGAAAAATCCTGTATACCATTTGATCGTTAGAATCTTGTTCACGCTCTGCTCAAAAAGCAAGGTCGGAAGAATGGGGTGCTTGACGAACCAAAGCTGGCATTGAAACCCTCCGATGTGAGTCCTGCAGTGGGATCATCAGGGTTTGGTGAATAGGCTGCGTAGGCATTATAGAAGGGCTGTAGGGTCGTGGCGAGGGTGAGGTAGAAGCATGCTGCATCATTGATGTTATTAGTATTTGACATATATCTGGAAAGGCCACGAGCACAGTATCACTTACCAAAGGACATGAACACCACGGATGAGAAGGTGTTACCGATTATACACTCTAGCAATCCACCAACAAGCAAGAGAATGCCTCCGAAGAAGATGTATGCTCCACTGAAAGAATAGCGAGTTAGCATGCGCCCCTGAATATGGAATCAGACTGATTCCAACTACTCACATATGAGCAATTCCATTGTTGCCAGCTCCTCTCCAGCCCATGAGGGAAAAAGAGAGAGGAGTCAAGGCCATGACGAATCCTGTGATGGCTCTACGCTGGTGTCAGTTATTTCCTAGAAGGGGTGATCGGAACACAGCTGCCATACATAGGGGTTGGATTGCCAATGATACTCCGAAGGTTTCCAGCAACTTGAGGTTTCGGATTCAAGTAAAGCTTCTCAAAGAGTTCCGGAGATAGCATGATGCTTCCTCTAGACCTGGTCCTCTCAAAGGCACTAGAGTCTCCATTTTCCGCATGCTGAACGTCGTTGGCAAAGTTCACGCCCTCGGAAGTGCTCGAATCAGATGTTTTAGCCATCTTTGGTAAAATATAATGGTGAAAATAGGGGTGTTGGCAAAGATAGAATTGAAAGCAGCTTCAAACACATGGACACTTCCTAAGCAATATATACCGTGGTAATTACTAGCTACATACCAGCATCTAATGGGACCAAACTTTCCTTGCTTATTTGGATTCTGGGGTACCGGAAACGTCCTGCGAACAGCGCACAGCAGAAAAAGCTTCCACTAGTGAGTCTAGACGGGATTCCAAATGTTGTAGATCTACATCGCCCCCGCGTTGAAGCAGAGCGGCAGCAGATAGTTTGTGGGGGTGGCGTAAGCTATCGATTCGGATATACGGAGAAGGAGAAGTAGCTCCTGCGAATCAACATGCGAATAGCTTCCGCCATCGCAAACCCCGCATTCCAGCCCCTATTCATGGTCGGAGGAGCGGATGCGCTCTGCAAGACCCCTAGAACCTGGAGTAGTGGAGTGCGGTGGAGCCGATGATGCGGGGCCCCGTAAAAAGGCGAAGCTGGGGTTACAGCCGCCTTGCCGCCTTGGAATTTGACTGGTCATTCCTCCCATCCTACATTCCCAACCCAAGTCGGAACCGCTCCCCACGTCGAGAAACTCCCACCTTCGCGAAACGATCAAGATGTGTGCCTCAGCGGTTCCAAACAAGTTCACCGAATACCAAGATAGCACGCTCACCTGAGCAAGTGGATTGGATTAATCAGGTGCCCCCGAAAAAGTTATAAATCCCCTCAACTATCCTTCTTTCTCGATACTCATACCATCCGAAGAGAATCCAATCCATCCTCTTCAAAACTTCTTACCCTTTTTTTACCTTTATTAAAAATTTTCCCTTATTGGTTTTTCCACAATGGCCAGCGCAGATATCCAGCAGAATATTCCCTCGCACATCCGTGGAGTGCCCGGCTCAGTCAACATACCAGTAGCAAGCTTCCCAGTTCCCTCCAAGTGTGCCACATGTGAACCGGAGCACGTTGCATCGACACTTGTTGAGGCTTTCAACCTTGCATTGGCCAAACGTGACTTCAACGGCATCGCAAACTTATTCGGAGACAACGGCTTCTGGCGCGACCATCTAGCTCTGACCTGGCAGCTTCGAACAGTGCAAGGCCATGAAGCGATCGTGAAATTCCTCGAGAGATCTTCCGAGTCCAGGGACGGCCTGCGACTCAAGAAAATCTCTATTGACAGAAGCACTCCTGTTCGCGCCCCGAAAGTGTGGTCACTTGACGGAGCTGGCGAAGTTCAAGGCATCCAATTTTTCTTCAAGGCAGAGACGTCCCATGGCTCTGCGACCGGAATCGCCCGCCTCGCGCTGCAGAACCACACGTGGAAAATATTCACCTTGTTTACTGGTCTTCAAGAGCTCAAGGGCCATGAGGAGCTTCTTGGACGTCGGAGACCCAAGGGCGCAGAGCACGGTGGTAACCCGGATCGCAAGAATTGGGCCGAAAAAAGAGCCGACTCTGCTGCTTACACTGACGGTCGCGAGCCAAGTGTGCTGATTATCGGTAAGTTCCTATCTTTTCATCATTTTCAAGAACCCAGCTAATCCTTATTTCAAAGGCGGCGGACAGGGTGGTTTGACCGCAGCTGCGAGATTGAAGATGCTCGGAGTGGACTCTCTCATCATCGATAAAAACGAGTCCGTCGGGGATAACTGGCGACTCCGATACCGTCAGCTTGTCCTGCACGATCCCGTATGGTACGATCACATGCCCTACATGGAGTTCCCAGCGACTTGGCCTATCTTCACCCCGAAGGATAAGCTGGCTGAATTCTTCGAGTGCTACGTCAAAATGCTTGAACTCAATGTTTGGACCACAACCACTATCACCAATTGCGAATGGAATGAGAAGACTGCCAACTGGACCGTGACCCTTTCTCGCAAACAGAAGGACGGTACCACTGAAGAGAGAGTGTTCCACCCGCGCCATATCATCCAAGCGACCGGTCATTCTGGAAAGATGAAGATGCCTGAAGTCCCCGGCGTGGACAGCTTCCAGGGTGACCTTCTTTGTCACTCCTCGCAATTCCCAGGTGCCAAGAGAAACAGCCAAGGCAAAAAGGCTATCGTCGTGGGCTCATGCAATTCCGCCCACGATATCGCACAAGATTATCAGGAGAGAGGCTACGATATCACTATGGTCCAGAGATCCACAACCTGCATTATCTCCTCGACTGCCATCACAAAGATCGGTCTGAAGGGCCTTTACGAAGAGGATGGTCCCGCATTGGCAGATGCCGATCTCCTTCTCCATGGCACTCCCACACCAGTTATGAAAGCGCTTCAGATCCATATCACTTCCCAAGAAGCAGAGCACGATAAGGAGCTTCTTGAGGGGCTTGAAAAGGCCGGATTCAAGGTTGATCGTGGTCCAAATGGCGGTGGACTCTTCGTCAAATATTTCCAGCGCGGTGGCGGCTACTATATCGACGTCGGAGCCTCCCAAATGATCGTTGATGGCAAGATTAAGGTGAAGCAAGGTCAGGAGATTGCTGAAATTCTGCCTCGAGGCCTCAAATTTGCCGATGGCACTGAGCTCGAAGCCGATGAGATTATCTTCGCTACTGGATACGACAATATGCGCTCGCAGACGAGGACGATGCTGGGCGATAAGGTTGCTGATAAGGTGTCTGATGTTTGGGGCTACAATAACGAAGGAGAAATTAGGACCATGTGGCAGAATAGTGGGCACCCAGGATTCTACTTCCATGGAGGCAATCTGGCGACTGCAAGATACTATTCTAAGATTCTGGCACTCCAGATCAAGGCTCTTGAGGAAGGTATCTATAACCATGGTGAATTCTAAGCGGACGGGTACGGATATATTGTTTCAACATCATCTACAATTTGTTTTTCCTCCAATGCTTGTTCTCTAACTATGTCAAATTCATTTATAAACTCCAAGATTGACTTTTTCAATATTTGAATGTATCAGTAGTAATACCTCCGGGGCAGCGAAACCGAATCGCCGGTGCATCTCGGTTCTCGTACTAGGTGGGTCAGGACAATGAGATGAATCCACACCCGTGCAAAGGCATACGTATGTTTTTGCCTAACAAGGAACGAAGCATTGCCCATAAGAAATGATCAACGAGCAAATAACCACTTCTGGCCCTGAAGAGTTCCATGATCTGCATAGTTTGTTGGGATATCCGATTAACCAGACACGTTATTGGGAAAATAGAACCCAACAACCATACGAGATCCTGAAGGATCCATGCATACTACAAGCTACAAACCCAATTCAGGTCTGCTACCCATATCACTCAAATGAAGACCATGAAAGTACCGACCGACGCCAGGAACACGACCGATACCAGGAACAGGTCTCTGCATCTGTGGTTGGACGGGGAACAGACGGACCCCATCGCTTTGCAGGAGAACGGTGGATCTATTGGGCCTGTATCCTCCGATCTGTTCGGAGTTGCCGCCTGAAGGGTCCACGAGTATGTATGAAGTTTCAATATCCGTATCGTTTTGTTTCCTGAATCTCCTTATAATGGACATCTGCTCTCGCAGCAAAAGTCGCTCGCAATTAAACACTCTGAAGGACGCGGCCAGCTACGCACACGCTACGTAACCATCTAAACCTGTCTGTTTTCTCACATTCACTCCCCTAATATTCGGCATGCTGACCAACAGTTTTCACTGAAGTTCAATTGAACGCTATGCCTTTCGAAACTCAGGAGCCCTGGAAAAGACAGTTCTACAGTAGTACCGAATGTCCCGAGCATGTAGTCATTCCATTGAAGGACTACAATGCGTACGGCCCCAATCCGGTACACCGATGGGTGTACAATAAGCTGGAAATCGCAGAGAAGCAGGGACTGGCGTGTGCACCACATGGAATAGCTCCTGAGAAATTCCCTGTCTTCAGCAAGCCGATTTACAACATCAGGAATCTTGGAGCGGGAACCAGAATTCTTGAAGACATGGAAGACTACCGTGAGCACTGCTCGTCAGGACATATGTGGTCAGAGCTTCTTGAAGGTGACCACATCAGCACTGACGTGGCGGTTCTCGACGGAAAAGTAGTCTGGCTATCCCACACGCTGGGCATTCCCTCTGGCGGCGGCACCTTCGACAGATGGGAAGTCAATATCGCTGTACCACAGCAGGACGAGCGAACACTCGTGGATTTTATAGAGCTACACTTGCCAGACTACAGAGGCATGCTCAATGCCGAGATGATTGGTGGAAAGATCATCGAGATGCACCTGCGCTTCACAGCTTAGTGACGGCCGTCCGTTCTGGCTGGGTGAAGCGCCGAGTCTTGCTGATTTCCATGCTTACGTTGACATTTGGACAGCACGCGCTTACTTGGATTTTGCACAAGAACTGTTCAAACCATTCCAAAAGATGCCTCTTTGGGAAGAGAGAGTCCGGAAGATTGGCCACGGGAGCAACCGGGTCATTGATATTGCGGAAGCACACGAGTCGGCTCGTTGCAGCACACCTCTTCCCGGCCACAGCGTAGATTCCGAGGATGCACTTGGACTTTCGCCTGGGGATGATGTGATAGTTACGCCAGACGATTACGGACAGGGACATACCACTGGACGCCTAGTGACTTTGACACCGCGAGAGGTTGCCGTTGTGCGTGATGATCCTCTTGTAGGACAGGTGATCGTACACTTTCCTCGTATTGGGTTTCGCATCTCCCGTTCTTCGAAACCTTAGCTAGGGAGCCCTTCATTTATATTGGATCTGTACTTCTCCACACATAAGCATGATGGAAAGAAGCAAAGGGAGGTCTGTCAACCTGCATGAAGGCAGCCAAAGCCTTAATGCATCACTATTGTTTACATATTTCCAGTCTTTTGTGTTGTGCTATTTGGAGGCTTTGGAAAAATCCCGGAACGATATTCATATGAGAGATGTCAAAGAAAAGGCAACTCAAAAGACAGCTAGACAGATGTCGTATCTTTCATACTAGTACAGATCTAGATCTAGATTCATGTCATACAACTCATTTCATATAACTCATGCCATCTCAATCTGCTCATCTTCGGCACCCTTCTTCGTGACTGTCACATCATCAGAGGGAATAACATATGTCGCCCACTGACGAGCAGGAACCTTGTCCTGGAAGAGTCTCTCGATTTCCGCATTGCTGCGACCTGCAGTCTCACCAACACAGAACCACGAATATGCTAGCAAAGACGTGGTTGTTGCTCCGTAGACAAAACCGATCATCGGACCTAAATGACCCGTGTAGTACATATAGGGGCTGGTGAAGACCATGACCCAGAGCGTGAGAAAGAAGACGCCCATGGCGCACGCGGTGATCTTGTTTCTGTTGCGGCCAACGGACATTTCCGATGCAATAGTGTATGAGAGGGTCCCGATGGAGAAGTTGTAGAAGATGATGTTGATGTAGGCGAGAACAACGATGCCGATGCCGATGCCACGGCTGAAGGTGCCATCGGATGCTTTGGTGGTGCCGAGGCCGCCGACGGCAATGAGGGAGATGAACATACCCCCTGAGCAGACGAGGAGGTTCGTGCGGCGGTTGATCTTGTTTCCGAGAACGACTGCTAGGCCGACGGTAATGATTTGCAGGACATAGATGATGGTGTTGATGGTGAAAGGATCTGAAACGCCGATGGACTGGGCGAACACAACGCCATAGGTGTACCAGAATTGGATACCGTTAATCTGCTGCACGAACATGACGCCACAGGCGTAGAAGAGCTTGCGGCGCTCAATGGGATCCATGATGAGTGAGACCCAGGTAGCGTCCTTGGCCATTTCACGCTCCATCTGAACTTGGTCCTCGATAGCTTGTATGTCCGCTGAGGGATCATAGTCGCGGCAGCTGTGGTTGATTCGGCGGAGAGCTTTGATGGCTTTGTCACGCTTGCCTTTGTACATGTACCACACTGGACTCTCGGGTGTGAAAGGAAGGCACAGAAGCAAGATACCGGGAAGAACAACCAGCAGGCACATGGGAATGCGATAAGATTGAGAACTGGAAATGCTCTGGGTGCCTTGGTTGACACAGGCTCCGACTAACTGCGAGATAGACTGCATGAACTGGAAGCACATGAGGGCCGGACCTCTGATGGCAGACGGCGCCACCTCTCCAATGTACATCAGGCAAGTAGCGGTGAACTGTCCAATACCTAGACCAATCAACACACGACTGACATAGAAGACTGAGTCAGAGCCAAATGAGCACACTTGCACGATGGCTCCAACAATGATACAAAGAGAAGCCGACAGGAAAACAGCACGCCGGCCGAAGAAGTCATTGATGGGAGCGGCGCCAATAGCTCCAACTAGCTCTCCGACATAGATGATGCTAGCAGACACCGAGAGGAACGATGTCCCAAGAGAGTATGACCCGTCTGCATTTCTCTCCCCGTAGTCCTTGGCAAACCATGTCATACCCTGAATCCCAGTATAGTAGATCGTATCGTAACCGTAGCAGAGGGCACCGATGGCAGCCACCATACAGTAGGCGATGGCCCGCCGATTCGACTTCCAGTCGATCTTGAGATCAAGACCTGCCATGTTCGAAGATGTACGTTTTTGAGGTAAAGAACAGTAAACTCGATAGACTTAGAAGCCCACAGAGGAAAAAGAGAATTTTAGAAGAATCGAACCAACCGGTTTGCAGGGAAACGATCGTATATATACCTTTTTTTTTTATAGAGGAAAAGTTCAATTATTGCCAGACCAAACCAAGAACCCGGAGGCCCGCATGTCGGGGTAAACTCCATGGGGTATGCGGGCCATAGCCGAGTATTTTCGAAGTCTCCATCTAATAGGACCCCTGGGGCCCCCTTCCCCCCGGCTGATATGTAGACCAAGACATGTTTTATAGTGTGGGTCTCCTCGTTATTCACGCACTCGCAGGAGCTTTTTACATGAAGGGTTTTACCCCAGACGCTTTGAAGAAAGAGGCAGCTTCACTATTTGTAGATGTCTTCGAGCAAAGATCTCATGTTGGAAGAGGGCAGATCGGGCTATAAGCCGACAAGATAGCAGCAGAATTTCGGCAAGTGGTCGCCGCCAAGCGGAATCCCGAAACGGGGATGTCGCCGAAATTTGACAATAATTTCGCCATGCGGCCAGTCAAAGTTTCAAGATTTCAAAAAACTACCGCGGCACAAGCCTTTGTCGAGGAAACTGGAGTAATCGGGGTAATCGGTAACCTTGAAAGAGAAGGGCTACCGACAATCTTTATCTAGCGATAAAATCCACTAAGCTATTTCTGATAAGTCTGCCGCTGGCCGCAATTCGGAATTAGCTTATGCAGATTAATATGGTATCCTCAATACCTATCACATGACTTAAATCAGTTGAAAATTGCGGCCAGCGGCAGATATACTGAAAATAGTTTAGCGGCGATTGTGTGAAGATTGTCGGTAGCCCTTCCCTTTCGGGCTTTCTAGGCGGGTCTTTCCATACTCCAACATCCGGAGTGGACTATAGATTCGCTTGCAATAGCCATAAAACCATTTCTATCGGATTATACCGGGTCAAAGCAACTGTGATTTTATCTTTGTTTTGGCTTTATCGGCAACACTCCGGTATTTCGTGAGCCAAGATTTTAGCACGAGAGGACTACCGAAACTTGGCCAATCGACAAATAGGGAATAGCAAAAGAGCCCCTGTGATAGCAGGAGGCAATAAACCGGGATACTATCACAGCTCGGCCAGAATCCATGAATCCAATAGTGCAAATTCGGGAAAGAGAGGCAGTCAATGTAGCCTATAACTATCAAGGATGTACTGCTCTCATAATTAGCCTCTAAATAAAACATGACAGCAAGTCCATCAAAGAATTTCGAATTCAGAGAAAGCACACGATAGAAACTAGAAGGGCTCTTTGCATGCATCTAAGCTAACTCCGTTAACGTATCACGTAGGGCTTGGCCAATTGTATTCAGATGCATGGTACCCAATCCTAACTCCAAGTATGAAAAGATAATAAGGGGATATATCCACATCAGGAATGGATGGAATAAGCCAATAATATTTGCGTAAGAGAGCCAACTTCATCTACAGTCGATTTGTGTGGCGGTGTTTATTTATCAGTGAGAATCTACTCCAACGTATGAACCTATAGCCATTGCCGTTAAGGGCAACGCATCAAGAGTGCCGAGTGAATACCAAGCCCTTAAATGTTTCAGCGGGAATATCAAACTCCTTCCGTTCTAAGTCCGCCTAGGTGCCTGCGCGTGGCACCCCAGAAGACCTCCACTTGCCAAGAATAAAACCTGGTTAGTCTAGACGTGTAGCTTCTTCTGCGAGCTACATTAACTAGCGAGAAAATCCGTGTCGGCATAGGAATTACTCGATTCGGAACTTATACGGGGTTCGATATGGAGTTGAGCCTTGCCCTCACAACGACTCTACATATATATCTTCCAATGGACAGGGGGTAATGGTCAGCATTTGCTTCCAATTTATGGCGAATTATGGTTTCCCACGTCTCAAAATGCACTGCATTTACTATTGTCGAATAAAATTGCAAGAAAGACCTGTACTCAAAGCTGCCATGCCTGTTACAGACCCAGGTTATGTGGGCCGAATACAGCAGATGACTCCGAGTGCCAGTGTACTTAGAAACCCAATGATTGTTGACATTCTGCAAAACAATTAGTAGGTTTACAATCTAGACATAGCCATATCCTAAGTACATGGTGTTTGAAAAGGAAAAGGCTTAAAGAATGAGAGTTGTTAGACAAAAGAGCCCGTGTCCTTCCCTTTAGGCCGTTATTAAAAACCGAAGTTCGACGGTTGATAGATCTAGCTGAATTAGCATAAGCCCTAGGGGTCCACTACTGCTAACTGTTCAAGAATTGCTGCGAAGGAAAATATGATGTTGGAGACAAAAATGGAAAAAAGGGGTATTTCACTCAGCCACCCTCCGTATTCAAAATGAGCCGAATGACTCCAAGGTTTAGAGGAGACATCCATATTCCCGAATCAAGGAAAAAACGCGGTTGGGACATTAGACTATGAACAATTCCCATAATTCGAGCAGCACCAGAGGACACTGAGAATCATTAGTGTTGCTCGACATCAATGTTCCTTTCTATATACACGTCTCAGTCAATGACACTTTTCTCGTCAGCCCAGCTAGGCTGAATAGACCGACAAACAGCCTCATAATCCTGGAAGCGCTGGGTATCCTCCACCAGCCCAGGCGTTGTCCAGAACATAGCCCAGTTACTATCAGCCAGCTTCCAAGTACCTGAAGACCGCTCGAAGTACCATTTATTAACCGGGTTGTCCATGCGACTACGCCAGCAGACTCCATTGGGGAAACATGTGCGCACCATCGCGTTGAACACAATGTCGGCGACACCCCCGCGCCTTGGCTGCGCTTGAGCACGGCGAATTTATCCAAATAGGGCACCATGCGCGCGGCACTGGCTTCGCTTCCGTCGTCTGGTACGCCCGGCGGCGTTTCCCAGGTCAGGATTGCGCCGCCTTCGTACTCGCCGGCGACGATGATACCGGCGATACGGTTGTTTACTCGATCGAGGTAGTTTTGGACGTTGAGTTTGCGGTCAAAGGAGTCTTCGATTAGGGCGACTAGGCGGGGGAGATCGATAGAAGGGTCGTTCAATCCCAGTCGCGGTTGGATCTGGGCTGTCCAGGGGTGTGTGTAGGGGTTTGGGAGGATTGTGAGAGGCATTCCACGTTTTACAAAGGTCGTGTGG